AGGCTTTCACAAGCTCTTTGTTCTTAGTCGACCTGCCTTAAGAGTCATTCCTTGACCCCTGGGTCTAACACAGTGTCCGATCGCATCCGTCTGATGCCAGTCTACAGGCCCCGTCATGGAGACTTGCCCTCAGTGAACTTCATGATGATATTCAGTCCTGGACCCCAAATGCAAAACGTGCTCTCCTCATTGGTTGAATTCATCACAAGTCTTACAATTTTGGGTCTCCTGTGCTCCTTTTTAACATGGTCAAAGGGCTTCAACCAACCAACTGGCCCACCACTCTGTTGCCTAGCAACACATCAGGGCAAATTTCATTTATCACAGCATGGGATTTGCATTCAAATGGTGAGTGGAAGTGATTCCATTTGCTGCTCGGTATACTGGTGAAAATGTCGCTTTTTTGAACTGTATGCAATGAATGCTAAACCTATTTCACTGATGACCTTTTCAGTGAACAACAAAGAGTGTGTTTCAGACAGCTAAACATGAGTAGGAATGTGGCAAAAGACAGCGTAAATAAATACTTAAGTCTATCCTACTCTCTCTCTCTCTCTCTTTCTTCATCCCTGCCATGTGTCGAGGGTTCAGGTGGTTCTCCGGAATTCATTAAGTCCAAATATCAGTCTTGACTTGATCCCAGCCTGTCGGCATCACTTAGTTTGACTGGTGGTCGCGAAAAAACACAGCAGCCTGGAAAGAATGTCTAAATCTAAATCTCCACATCATTGATAGACTCCTAATATTGGATGGATGCAAGAGTCAGCCAAAACTAGCCCATAAAGGCTAATCGGTCACCTTGAATATCGACCGCCCAACAATACCTGGCACTATGTTTTGTGCTTCATACTCTGACACAAAACAACAGATTGATGTGCAACATTAATATTAAAAAAACAAACAAACAAAGTAAATGTAGAAAATACCTCTACATTTGAGCACAAGCCAGAAGCCACCACCCATTGATTTTCCTCTAACATCTCATTGGACAACAGCAGGCCTCAATGTCCATCCATCCATCCATTATGCGGGCCGCTTACCACCACAAAGATCGTGCGTGCTATCGGAGTGTTCAATTAACTTACCAACAGAAAGTGGCACATAGGTGTAAGTATTTTGTTTTAACAAATAAAAAAATATGGATTACAAAAGTACATTCATCCCCAAAATAAAATCAAGTGGAATCAAATTTTATCTAATTAGGATAGACCGGATAGTACTATGCATCTCAGTAATGCACATTGGGTAATTGCTAAGAGTGGAAAATGAGTGTCCTATGAAGGACTAAACGCCCTTATTTGTTTTTGATAGGGAAGAGTGCCTGAACTCCAAAGATGGCAGATTTTTTTTTTTTTTTTTTTAAAGCTTCTGGCACAACATGATAAGAAGCACCCAGGCCCTCAAAAAGGGTGCCGGGGTGCGTGAGATCAAGTGAAAATGTTGCTTTTTTATGTCGTGCCGCGTCTTCCAGAATGAAACTCCGTCGCGGAACATCCTGAATGAAGAGTTTTCACACGGATTGCGGCCAATGAGAAGGGGATTAAACCACCAAAGAGACATGATGATTTGGTGTTTTCACATCAGTCTACTTTTTGCACGAGTCACTCAATCCCCTTCCTTCCTCTTCTATTACAATGGAAGATTTTGGGCTGTGCTACTGCAACCAATGCATTTTTTTTATCCTGCTATGTTTACCTAGTGTGCTCTCCGTAATTTGCATGAACACATTTTCAATGTTGTTGTTGTTGAGTGTGGAAGGAAAAAGAAATTCTTGAATGTTTTGAACTTTTGGGGTGCCCTTTGTTTATTTGTGGGAGCAAATACAAGAGGGCAAATTTAAGCAGCATATCTTAAATATTCTAATCAGGGAAGCCAAGTTGTCTGTCTACCTATGGAAAAGTCAAGTTGCACTGATGTTGCCTTGAATGCTGTGGCCCTGTAAAATAATGCACCAATGCATTTTTTTTATCCTGCTATGTTTACCTAGTGTGCTCTCCGTAATTTGCATGAACACATTTTCCACGTTGTTGTTGAGTGTGGAAGGAAAAAGAAATTCTTGATGAATATTTTGAACTTTTCGGGGTGCCCTTTTCTCTGTCACTCTGTTTATTTGTGGGAGCAAATACAAGATTTAAGCGGCATATCTTAAACATTCCAATCAGGGAAGCCAAGTTGGCTGTCAAATTGCACTGATGTTGCCTTGAATGCTGTGGCCCTGTAAAATAGTGCGAACTCCCCGTGCCTGCATGGGTTTTCTCCGGGTACTCCGGTTTCCTCCCACATTCCAAAAACATTCATGGCAGGTTAATGGAACACTTGAGGTTGTTCCCAAATGTGATTGTGAGCGCGAATGATTGTTTGTCTCTGTGTGCCCTGCGATTGGCTGGCAACCGGTTTAGGAGGTCCTTTGTCTCTGTGTGCCCTGCGATTGGCTGGCAACCGGTTCAGGGTGTCCCCCCGCCTACGACTGCCCGAAGATAGCTGGGATAGGCTCCACCATGCCCGCGACCCTTGTGAGGATAAGCGGATTCAAAAATGGATGGCTAGATGGCTGGATTGCTTTTCTTCTTTCTTCTCTGCATGTGCCAAGATGCAGGCTGCACCCAACTGCTGCAGCGACGCCAGATGGCAAGCCAATGAGGGGTGAGTGAACTGTCTCGTGATACTCCGAAAGACAAAAAAAATTGCGTTTCTAATCCCGATGGTCTGATTGGTGCGCCTCAGTCCTGCGGCGGAGGGGGCGGTTGTGGGTACGAATGGGTTAGAGAGCTGGTGGCGCTGGTCTACCCCACCTGACAGCGAGCCTGTGTGCACTGGAGCTTGTAATTACAGAGGAAGTTGGTGGTGATAGAGTCTGGGAAAAGGCAAACACGCAGGCTTACAGCCGGGGCCTCCGTGTCACTTTCACCCACCACACAAGCGCCACAAATGACATGATAAAAAATATGAGAAAGGTGTGTCCATACATGTAAAGGTGGACAAGTGTAAAATGTTTACTATGTTGGTTGCATATACGCCGTGGCACAGGTGCTGAAAGCGCCACAGACGCTAACGTACTTTAAGCCGTGTGTTGAACCGGGCAAATAATCAAATACATAAATAAATACAAACTTGCAAGGAGCTGCATTAAACCATAGATTTCCATATCGCGATATTGGCTAATTGGAATCCAGATACTGATGTCACTGACTAGGCCACACCCCATGAATTCAAATGTAAAACACTGCAGTTTTTGTTCGTCCTGTCGGCGCCGCCAGACTTTACTCTGTCCGCACACATCCCGCGGAACCCTGACAAACCTTGCTCAGGAGGCACAAGTCCCGCGGCCACTTTCACCTCTCATGTGGCACCCCCATGGCCGTCCTCCCGAACGTCCAAACCTGTGTGGCATTCGTGCCAACGTCCTGACTGGCTGAAACACTTACCAGGCTAGCCTGATAGGTGGATGTGCATTTAAACCCATGGACAAAATTATTGTTACCCCCTGTTAATGAAATTTAAAAAAACAAACATCCATCCATCTTCTACCGCTTATCCGGTGTTGGGTCGCGGGGGCAACAGCTTTAGCAGGGAAGCCCAGACGTCCTTCTTTGCTACCTCCGATCCATGCGTTTGTGTGGTATACACCATGTCACCAAACAGCACAGTGACAACTTGTCAATCTTTCAATGGGCCAGCTGTCTGATTACAAGTTTGAAGGTGCATGTGATGCTAATTTGAGGACACACCTTGGCAAAACATGTGCCTATGGTCAAATTATTTTCAATTTTTTTCCTCGGCGAAGGAATAATTTTATAGATGTATCTCTCAATCATACATTTGCTTGTTCTTGTTCGAGCTGTTGGCAGTGAGAAGTGGTACATTTGTTGAACATATTAAAGGCTGTTTGCAATGAAGAAGTTTGGGTGGAGACGACTTTGGATGCACACATTGAGGCACAGCAGACCCTTATCAGATCCACGACTGGCACATGATGACAGCTGCTGAGGGTTGATAAAGGGGCAAACTAAATGATGAAGTAAAAAAGGTCTCGCATTGCGTGGCATATGACACACGAGCTTGTGCAGAACAAGTATGATCGTGATTCTCCTGTACTCAATATAATAAAAAACAAGATGGGCGCAGGGAGTGCGGAGAAGGTTGGGTGAGATTGTCCTGCAGTCTTCTCTCGTTCCCTTGCTAGCAAAATCAACTTGGTGTCTTTGCTTCCTTCATTGAGTGGTGTTTTATTCTACTAATGTCAACAAGTGAACCTGATTCACTTTTGTCCAAACCTATTTCATGAGTTTCGATCTAAATAAAACATGTCTTTAATTAATGGCAAAATAATGTTGTCTTAGTCGTCCTTCTGAATCAGGAAATAGTCTGCCACCATAAATCCATTCTTGCATCCATCCATCCATTTTCTTATCTGGTTATCCTCACAAGGGTCGCGTGTGTGCCGTAGCCTATGGTAGCTATCTTCGGGGAGTAGGTGGAAGACACCCTGAACCAGTTGCCAGCCAGTCACAGGGCACACATAGACAAACAACCATCCGTGCTCACACTCTTACCTCGGGACAATTTGGAGTGTTCCATCAACCTGCCAGGCATGTTTTTGGAATGTGGGAGAAAATCGAAGTACCCCGAGAAAACCCACGCAGGCACGGGGAGACATGCAAATTCCACACAGAGCTGGAATCGAACCCTGCACCTCTCTGCACTATGAGGCGGATGTGCTAACCAGTCGCCAGCCATATAAGAGATTCATTAGCTATTTTGTTCCTATATTTGTTTTTTGTTTTTTTTTTAAACAGGTAGAAATAAGAGAGTTTTACTCTGAGGTGTTCAGGGTACACATTCAACACTTTGTACATTCAGCAAACACAGGTTAATCAGGTTGGACGGAATAAAAGACATCAATGTCCTTCGGGTGAGTCTGGGAGTGAGAAAGAGAGAGAGCAAGAGAGAGAAGTTGCAGGGGGGGGAGGTGAGAAAGGATATAAAACCTTGGGACAAGAAGATGCTCCTCTCCCAAAGCCACTGCCATCCATCCAAACTGGACATGTTGGACTAGTTGCCGTGTGTGTCCGTGCGTGTGTGTGTGTGTGTATGTGTGAGTGGAGGAGGAGGGGGGCGCTCGACCAACTATGTGGATGAAGCCGCGCTGCGCATCGCTACGCCCCTGCTCGCTCCAAGTCAGACGGCTCCTTCTCCTCGCGTCTTCTCGTCTGTCGGCTGCCTCTCGTTCAGCACCACTCCTTTAAGGACAGCAGCGCACACCCTCTTCCGCCGACCTTCCATCTATCCCTCCTTCTTCTTCTTCTTCGAGCCAAACGTCCATCCTCCACCCTCGGGATCATTTACTCGCCAGCGAGCGGATCGGATGCGAAATTTTCCAGACAAGACGCACAAAAAAAGTGCAAGGAATTACTTTGGAGGATTTATGTTCACCGGGAAGACTAAATAGTCAACTGTAAGTATGCTCCTGTCTTTTTCTCCCCCCTTCAATATTTGCTGTGCTATTTATTTAAAATAGTCAACGTACCAAAATGTGTGTATTATTTCACCCTATGTTTGTTAGAAAGGAATTATGACGAACGGGGAGATTTCAAAACGAATTACGTGTAAATGTTTGTGCTTCAAAGAGGAAACTATTCAACTCTCGTGCGTAATTGCGCGCACTCATCCACTCGTGCAGTTATTTTACGGCGGAGTGCAAAAAAAAAAAAAAAAACAGCAAGTAAAAGCTGCATTTCAATAAAATACTCCAAAACGAGGGTATAACTGTCTAATTTCTCATTGTTGTTCTTCATTCATTCATTCATCTTTTTTTTTCCCTTTTTCCTTGTTGTTTCTTTTTGCCACCTAAGCGTGGCGTCTGGCTCCTAAATTGCTTTTTAGAGACCAGCCTGCACATTTCTCTGCACGCAAGCGCTCATTGTTAGTTTATTGGATTAATTGGGTGGGTGGTGGGGTTTCGTATTTTCCAACCCATGAAGCGAAGTAACCCATTCGAATCCACGTGGAAGTGGAAACTGTTTTTTTTAGGAGTCTAATGAACATATCACGCATTCTTCCGACAGTGAACCGGGACGGAGAGGCTGCGCGACCCGAACCGGTGCTACTGACGTGGTGCCCCTTTCCTTCTCCTCCTACGTTCGTCCTCGACGCGAGCATGGCCACGAACGGGACCAAAGCGTCGGACGGCCACGTCCTCACGGAGACCGTGAGCGAGGCGCCGACGAGCACGGCCAACGACAAACCCAAAACGCTGGTGGTAAAGGTGCAGAAGAGCAAAAAGGACATACCCGAGCGAGAGACGTGGAGCGGGAAATTTGACTTCTTGCTCTCGTGTGTGGGATACGCAATCGGACTCGGGAATGTGTGGAGATTTCCTTATTTGTGTGGAAAGAATGGCGGAGGTAATCAGGAGTTCTTTTTCCTTCCAAAGGAATCAATACCCGGATTCCGTTTCTCTTAAATCCAAATGTGTAAGCCGTGCGTAATTACGCACAGGCGTCCTGTGCTCAATTCACCCTTTTTTACTTTTTTTTTTTTTTTAAACATCTGGAATATATGCTGTTGAATATTTATCCTTGATAGTTCCTATCACTGAACCTTCCCTTTTTTTAATTTTACCTCTCATAGGAGCCTTCTTGATTCCCTACTTTTTGACCTTGATATTTGCCGGCATGCCCCTCTTCTTTCTGGAGACGGCTCTTGGTCAGTACACGTCTATAGGGGGGCTCGGAGTGTGGAAGCTGGCTCCCATGTTCAAAGGTAAAAAGAAAAAGCTCCTTATTTTTTTTTTCAAATCAAATTTAGTGTTGATACTTGTGTTTTTTTTTTAATCTAATGTGTTTGGAGAGCAAATGTGCATCCCAACAATTAATAATCACTAAAAATGAAGTTGATTTGTTATTCATGCTGAATGTCCAAAAGAGTAATAAAAAATGTATTACTACGCTAAATAAAGGTTCAAAATAACGAGCATGAATAACAGTGTGGCCATGCAAAAATGTCTCATAAATATTTCATTCAAAGCTCTGCGTATTGTTTTAGGTGTCGGTCTGGCCGCTGCTGTTCTCTCCTTCTGGCTTAACATATATTATATTGTCATCATTTCCTGGGCTCTTTACTATCTGTACAACTCCTTCACAACCGTGAGTATCTTTCCGAATGATCTACAAAACATATCAACGTGAACGTAAGATCCTGACGTTATTTAGTCATGCCGAATAGACTGCATGAGAGAAACAAAAACAACAACAAAGGTTGTAAAACATTAAATAGACTATGACATTTATTACTTCCTTTCCCACATAATTAGCGCTTTACGTAAGCCATTGATAAATGCATTCTGGCGATGAGTCATCCTGTTTATAGAGAGAAGCATGAAATCGCAATGTCCCCCCTCAATCCCCACCCCTCAAAGACTATCATGGACTTGGCACACAGAATTGGACCCGGAGGTGGGAAAGTGCAGTTCCAAGTCAAAAGATTTTTTTTTTTCTCTCCAGGAACTGCCATGGCAGACTTGTGGTAATTCTTGGAACACAGACCGCTGCTACACCAACTACAGCATCGCCGACACCAGGAACCTCACCAGCGCCGTGGTAGAGTTCTGGGAGTAAGTTGAGCAGACTCAGAGTCCTTTTACATTGTTCGTATTAACCTCAAGTATTCCATATTGTGGGATTTCGAAAGTTGAATGCCCCAGATGTCAGAGTTCAACTGGCATTACATGCCACAGAAGTCAAACAAGTGCAAAACATGAGAAACTTCAGCTCAGCGAGCATTTAAAAGATGGCTTCCAGAAGAGTTTCTTTGTGTGTGTGGTTTTTTTTTTTAAAGGGTGCCACGAATGAGAAAATTCCAATGCTAACCATAGAACAGGAAATGCAACATTATGCAACACAGGAAATGATCATGCTGATCACTATGAACAGGGAACAACTAAAGACATTTTTTTAAGAACAAGTTTGCTGTTGACGACCAATGGCAAAAAATTGTTACATGGTGGGAAATAGGCCGGCTGCTTTTTACATACCAATATTAACAATTTTATATATCTATTTATATATATATATATATACTACTCTGCGCATGCATTCTCATTTGCATTTTTATGTGTTGTGTTTCTCGTTTTACAAATGGCGTTAGGGAGAATTTTATATATATATATATATATATAAAATACCAAATTAACAATTCATAACAATACATAGTTTAAGAGTTGAACTAACAATATATGGAAGAATGTGCCTCAAAAGTCAAACTTCACGCGTGATCTCTGACCCAATCAGTCATCTCTGGCCCCATCTTATGTCAGCAACTTAATATATAAGAAACCACCGCACCCGAAGAAAAACAATCAATCAGAAACCGAAGGCGTGACTTGTAATATGTCGATCATTTGTGAAGCACTCATCAGGAGCACCACCACGGCAAAAACAACAGCCTTCAAACAGATAACATTTAGTGTTATCGTAACAGTAAAATAAAAAGAGGGTGCTTTTGTTGTGTAATACATTAACCGGTCAAGTTGTGACTGCCGCGATGTGCCCGCAATGAAAATGTAACAAATGATTGTGTATTTATTATTACAAAAAAATTTGATCTTATATTAAAAAAAAACCAAAAAACTAAAATTAATACTAAAACTAAGAAAAACTAAAACAACTAAACAAACTAAAGCAAAGCACTTAAAAAACAAAAACAAATTTACACACCTGGTCTAAAAATCACATGAAGTTAACTGAATTTTAAAAAACAAAAGTCAAAAATAAAAACTATTATGAAAAATCTATTATATCCTTGTTACGTACAGGATCTGAAGCCATATTTCTACTTTCCTGAGCTTTTTCACAAACATCTGTCCGACAAATTGCAGCCATTGTTTACAGTAAGACAAACTTCACCCCCTTGCCCTTGCAGACGCAACATGCACCAGCTGACCGAGGGCCTGGAGAAGCCCGGAGAGGTCAGGATCCCCCTGGCCATCACCCTGGCCATCGCCTGGGTGCTGGTCTATTTTTGCATCTGGAAGGGGGTCAGCTGGACTGGCAAAGTGAGTCAGTGGCTAAGGACATGGCACAAAGGAAACATTTAGCTTTCACTGCAAACAAGACGCGCGATTCATTGCTGAAAGTTGCCGAGCTGTCACCGCCACACGCCGGAATACCGTGCTGGGGGGTACAGGGGATTTGGAGGTTTGGGGGTCGTAGGGGATTACATAACTTCACTTTACCCTTCCGTCAATCATCCGACTTGAGGCTGTGTTGGTTTAACTGTTGCGGCATAGTGTCATCACAAAAAACTTTATTGTTCTAAAGCGAAATGTTTTTTTGGGGGGGGGTGGGGTTGGCCATTTAAATCACAGTTTGCTCCCATCTCAGAATCAAACATGGGTGAACCCACAAAGTTAATACGTAATATTTTCAATTGTACTGCATGAATCAAGAAAGTAGCGGCTAAATAACATACAGAAGTACAAAAACAACAAAAAACACGATCACATTTTCACAATCTTTCTGAATGATCCATTATCCTTTTAACATGGATATTGGACAGACAGACACGAGCACAAACCATTTTTTTCCCCCTCACTTTGGTGAACAATTTTGACAGAGTTCTGTACCGTTTGAGTCGTCGTTCATTTTTGCTTCAATCATCAACTCTGATTCGATTTCATAACGAAGAAATTGGTCAAGTGTTGACATGGATTGCAAAGATGGCTTTCGAGGGGCTATGGTGACCATTACCTTGGGTTTGGTGTTGGCTGAATAGGTTATTGTGCTCCACTGCCACAGCAGAAGCACTTGGCGTTACGGTTATCTAGTTTGTGCCCTTGCAGGAAAAAAATTACCAAATTGGTCTAACAAGGACTTCCCGTCATTTTCAGGTGGTGTACTTTTCAGCCACATATCCGTACTTTATGCTGTTCATCCTGTTTTGTCGCGGAATCAGTCTGCCTGGAGCTATTGATGGAATCCTCTTCTACATCACGCCAGACTTTGACAAACTGACACGGTCTGAGGTACAAGCAGTGCGTTGTTGTTTTGCTTCTGAAAATGTTACATTTGGTCATGAAGAATGTATGTCACCTAAACACCGTCACTTCAAGGCGAAAACAGTTTTTTTTTTCTAGTTAGCTTAGAAAAATGTTGCTATCGCTACTAATTTCTCTGCTACATTTGAATAACATCCCAGTAAACTTGGACAATATTGCAGAAAAGATATTGGACTTCAACTAGCAGAGTTCCATGGACACAATTAAGGTGTATGTTACATCAAACATATCTCAAGACCTAAGATTAAGTACGCTATAGAACAAGTATAATAGTTACGGCTACGGGCGGCACGGTAGACGACTGGTTAGCATGCTGGGTTCGATTCTGGCTCTGGCCTTCCTGTGTAGAGTTTGCATGTTCTCCCCGTGCCTAAATGGGTTTTTCTCCAGACACTCCGGTTTCCTCCCAAATTCCCAAAACATGCACGGCAAGCTAATGGAACACTCTAAATTGTCCCTCGGTGTGAGTGTGAGCGCGGATGGCTGTTCGTCTATGTGTGTCCGGCGATTGGCTCAGGGTGTACTCCGCCTACTGCCCCAAAACAGCTGGGATAGGCTCCAGAAAGCCCGCGACCGTCGGGAGGATAAGCGGATTAGAAAATGGAGGGCTGGATAGTTACGGCTACTGTTATGTAATTATTTTGTTTTCTGCGCTGCAAAGGTTTGGCTAGATGCTGCCACTCAGATCTTCTTTTCCTATGGACTGGGTTTGGGTTCTCTGATCGCACTGGGAAGCTACAACCCCTTCAATAACAACGTATACAGGTAGGTTTAATATATACTGCTAATTAATTGTTGGTTCTGTGTGAGCCAACACTGGTTACCTACTCAAGTCAGTTTTGGTCCCGGCTTGGATTTTTCTGGTGGACGTTTGTCAAAACCTTATTTATTCTAAATTACAACTCGGGTCAAGGTAATAAGTTTCTCATTCTAAAGCTAATGTATAGCCTTAAAGATACTTCTTTTGAATCCCTGACTTGCGCAGCTCGGGAACTTAACTGTACTTTTATTTCAGTCCTGGGAAAGGCACATAGAGCCACGTCCGAGTCGAATGATTAGCATCGCCTGCGAAAATCGTACCAATTAGGGGTCAGGATTACAGAAAAACCTGCCATGAAAAAATGATCGCGTTACTTTGCCAATAAAAATATGACAGTACAAAGTACCGTTTTGATACATAGGCATCGATCCGCAATGAAAATCAGATTTTACTGTGAATCACGTGCTTAGAAATGCAAAGTACTAACTCGTCAGACATTTTTGTGTGTTTAACACTAGGTTGATTAACAGAAAGTATTGGCAGACAGCTTTCGTTCCTAAATGCTGCTGTGGGTTGTCTCAAAAGCCAAACAAAACATGGAGTTCAAACCATCCCGAGATTTCAGTTGATTGAGTTTGTCTTTGCGGGGTTTTTTTTTTGCCCATTTACATCCACATTTTAAATTAAATTTTAACAAAATTATGATGATTAGCTTCACACTGTGATTTGCCTCAAAAGTGAAACAAAAGCTAGTTCAAAATGTCGCAACTTCATTGGCTGATTCTTTGCTTTTTTTCATGATTGTTTTTTTAACACTTGATTCATGAAGAACAAAGACTGTTGTTGACAAGACACCGAGATGTGTACTAAAAAAAAAAAAAAAAAAAAAATCGCAGCTGCAACAAGATTAGATAAGAGATGATAAAAGATGTCAGCGTGCAGATAATGATTAAGATATGACTGATACATGGATATTTTGTTCCACCCAATACCTTAAGCAACAGAACTGGACTCCAACTGTACCCCGAACAGTGGATTTGGGTTTCCAGTTTTTAGAAGTGTTTCAGTATTTTTGCTGTACTACTTTCAAACTGCTTCATTCAACCTCATTTCCGTTTTAACAACACAAGTCAGCACCCCCCAGGTCCGATTTTAAATGACTGCCAATTTCAAAGGAACGGGACAAAAAAAAATAAAAGCAGCCATTTCTTTTGCGCCGGATGCAAAATGGCTCCTCACCCAATTCCCCCCCGCCTCCCCTTCGCCCGCCGCCGCCGCCATCGCTTTCACCAATGTGTGACGGGATGATAAGGAATTGATATCGGCGTGACAATAGCCGCCTTGTGCTTTGTCTCCCTCCCGACAGAGATTCTGTCATTGTCTGCTGCATCAACTCCTTCACCAGCATGTTCGCCGGCTTTGTCATCTTCTCTATTGTGGGATTCATGGCCAACGTGACAAAGAAACCCATTGCTGATGTGGCAGCCTCAGGTAATTGCAATCAATGTTGAAACTCGGCAATCAGCAAAGGCAACAGCACTCGGAATGGTGCAAATAATTAGCTCCCGAATTCGCTAGATGTGATATTCTTTGAGTCAGAAAAGGGGAAACTTGTGACTGGGTTTTGATTTCTGGGTTAATTAGAAAAACAAAAAAGAAAATTGTGCAGTGATTTTGCATGTCTTCGCATCCTTTATAAATCCTCTCAAGTTTAGTCCGACATTCAGCACCCCCAAGGACGCTTTTGACTTATTTTTAGCGTCTTCTTTTTCCATTTCATCTTCTTTTCGTTCATGTTATCTTCCCTTACATTCGCAGCACTGTCTTCAAACTTAAGCCAAAACAAGTTTTTACTTGTTCCCCTCGTCACTGAGGGTTGAAAAAAAAAATGCATCCCTAATGACTACATGCGCTATATACAAAAATGTTCTCAATGCAGCCCTGTGATTGACTCGTGGCCAGTCAAGCCTCTCGCCCCAAGTCACACTGGATAGAGTCCAGGTCACCCATGATCCCAAACAGAAATAGCAGTGTAGAAAATGACCAGATGGATGGTCTCAGTGCCCTTTTCCCCCCATTCGTGTTTCAAGGACCTGGCCTGGCATTTTTGGCTTATCCCGAGGCCGTCACCCAGCTGCCAATCTCCCCTCTGTGGGCCATCCTCTTCTTCTCCATGCTGCTGATGTTGGGAATTGACAGCCAGGTACTGACATAACCTGAAGTGACCATAACGAAAGAGTTGCGATGAAAAACAATCGACTGACTGTGCGACTCCTTCAGTTCTGCACCGTGGAAGGCTTCATCACCGCACTGGTAGACGAGTTCCCTCATATTCTGCGGAAGCGCCGCGAGATTTTCATTGCCATCGTCTGCCTCGTCTCTTACATCATTGGACTGTCCAACATCACACAGGTAAATCAACACAGCAATCCAGTGGGATTTCCATTTGGTGAACTTTCCATTTAGGTCCAAATTGTCATGCCCATCAAACATGTAAGAACTTTTCAGGCAATGTTAAAAGCACGAGTGAGATTAAAATAAATTGCTAAAATGTCTATGAAAAATAATAAAAAAAATCACCTTTGAATGTTATCACTTTAAATTATTTTAATTATGTTAATTGACCAGAAAATGAAAAAATCGAATACAATGTATGAACAAAAATTTGAAAAGTTAGGAAATATATGTCATTTTTTAATTGATATGAATTCATAATAAATCAAACATGTATTTAATGAGTTAACTGAATAAAAAATGCATTTGAATTAACCAACTTTAGGGACAAACAAAAATCTAAATTAAAGCAATACATACTAGAGGACTCTTGATACTGTCAATGCTTTGTGGGCCTGAATAAAGAATAGAGAAGACTATATACTATGGTAAAACTTGAGTATTATTAATTGTCAAGTATAAACTGAACTTAAGTCTACAGTTAATCCATTAATAATGTCAAAACACAAAAAAAATATATCAATTTTTCAAAATCTGAATCTAAATGAAAGTCACGCACCTAATTCTTTAATATTAGCAATGGCAGCTAGCATGACAAGCTAACACAGCAGTTTACATCTTCACTCTGCGTCCTTCTTGTCGAAAACAGTCGTGACTGAAATGCAGCCCTCCAACAATATATAAACCGCAGTCCTTTGTTTTCAGTGATTATCTCGCAACCAGACCAGGGTGTACCCCGCCTCTCGCCCAAAGACAGCTGTGAGTCGTTCCAGCTCACCCGCAGCTCAATTGAGGACAAGTGCAATAGAAATATCTATTGCTCCAAAAAAAGCAATGCCAGATGCGCATGCTATCATGCTAACAGGAATCTGATTCAAACCTGAAACAACAACCTGATTTAAAACCTCGATCAAAATTTATCATTCCACATCATTAACATTGTTCTTTCTAGAAAAGTGTAGTAAAAGGACAAAGGAAAAAGCAAAGCACACACAGAGTTAATTGTTTGATGCGGGCACAAATTATATTTAGGGTGGATATGCTAACTTCGGATTGGAAAGGAAAAATGGTGTACATGCGCAGTGTACGAGAAGAAACTGTTCGGAACAAAAGCTTCCGAGGAATTGATGAGCATTCAATTGTAGCCGAGAAGGACCTACTAGGGACACGATTGCAATGATGTCGTGTCCTCACCAACGAGACGTCGCTCTCTCGATCTTGTTCCACTTGACTGGCCTGCTACTTGCCCACATACCCTAATTGCCTTGGTTTATGTTACGATTCTGTCCCAGTCCCCTCATCACTGTCCTCTTGCGTCTCATTCTGTAGGGTGGCCTGTATGTGTTTAAGCTATTTGACTACTACTCAGCCAGCGGGATGTGTCTGCTCTTCCTCGTCTTCTTCGAGTGCGTTTCCATTTCATGGTTCTACGGTAAGGCGCATTTTTAATAAGGGGAAGTTTGTCTTTAGGGGAGATTCCGAGATGACGCGATGGATTCACGATGCTTTAATATTCTTTTGCAGGCGTGAATAAGTTTTACGACAACATTGAGGAAATGATCGGCCATCGGCCCTGTCTGTGGTGGAAGGCATGCTGGGTTGTTTTCACGCCGCTCATCGTGGCCGTAAGTACAGTCCAACAGCCAAAATCTCAAAACAGTTATGACTGCAGTACTTACTGTATTGACTTAAAGTTTTGCCATAATTATGACTTTACTACTGAGGGGGCATAGGTTAGTTCCGATTCCTGTAAACCAAGACACTCTCTTATCTATTTGTCCAATGTATCTTTTTAATACCGGATTTTTTGCACTGTAAGGCGCTTCGGAGTATAAGGCGCACCTTCTATTTTAAAACTGTTTTCATTTATAGGGCGCATTTCATTATAAGGCGCATAGAAGGGAAGCTACAATCGTGGCTGCGGTTGCATTATGCATCCACTAGATGGGGCTACACTAAAGGGAATCCAATCCAATACAGCTTTATTTTTATAGAGCTTTCACAACCGATGCAGCTGTAACAAAGCGCTTTACAGAACATTTGTGTGTTTTTTTGTTTATTTAAAATACTACGTCCAAGAAATCAGAATATTGATCCATATATAAGGCACATCGGAATATAAGGCGCACAGTCGTCTTTTAAGGAAACGGCATGCTTTTAGGTGCGGCTTATAGTGTGAAAAGATGGTAGTTTTCGATTCTTCATCTTATTTTTTTTAATTCTTTTTGACTCATGCTTACTTTTGTTTTTATTAGTTTTAGTATTAGTTTTTTTTAAATATATGCAGTATGTGTTGAGGACAAGATAAAAAAAAGGTCACTGCAGTAAATATTGCGGTAACTATAATTCTTAAACAAATATGTTGACCTTGGTTCTTCTGTAGATATGGATGTACAGCAGTACCAAAATAAATACATTTCCAATGAATCCAGAAAATTTATGATAAGTGAAAAAAACTAAAATTAACATTCTGGCAATAAATATTGTTAGTTATACTTACTTTTATTAACATAAGATATAGTTTCAGTTAGTTTTTGTTCTTTAAAAGCAGGTTGGTTATGAATGAAAATGTTTTTTTCAATCTTTTTTTTTTCAATTGTTTTTATTTATAATAACCTTGGTCCACTGACACCCAAATTTGAACCATGTATCGCAGACATCTGGCCGACGATAAATTGCAAGCCATTTCGGTTTTGTTTGATGACTATGTGAGGATGCAGATGATGACATTTGTACCCTGGCGTCTCGTTTCCAGGGAGTGTTCCTGTTCAGTGCCGTGCAGATGGTACCCCTCACCATGGGCGATTATGTGTTCCCAGCCTGGGGCCAGGGTGTAGGGTGGTTAATGGCCCTCTCCTCCATGGTCCTCATTCCTGGCTACATGGGCTATATGTTCCTCACACTCAAAGGCACATACAAAGAGGTAACGCTGTGTCTGGCTTTTGGCTCTCTTTTGCGTCTGTGGGGGGTCGGGTGGGGGGCTGTGTGTGTGTGTGTGTGTGTGGGGGGGGGTGTATAATGATTGCAGCGTGAGCCAAGAAATTAAAAGAGATACATTCAACATGCTCACGGCAAATAGAATTGGGGCTTTTCTTTGAAAAGCACAGGGTGAAGACTCTTCACTCTGTTCAAACTGATAATTTGAACTTTTGGTTCATGATCAATGTTTGACATCAATGAAAAAGAAGAAGACCAAACAAGCAACTACCATTTCAAGCCTCTTTACAGGTTAATTTATACAGATAGTTAACACTGGAAAAATAGCATTATCAATCGAAACCGACAGTCACCATCGTGTACAGACAGGTGTAACGCTCATCACACCATAAAAGTCAAGTGAAAGCAGCTCACCATGTGTAATTTTTGTTGACTTTTGACATTTTGGTTGAATTTGATTTGTTGGACAACTTTTTTTTCACATGCAAGCTACATACGGTGTAGCTTCACAGTGCTTCGTGTTTTTATTTTATTTTATGTTACAGCCTTTTCAATTATATTCTACACACAACATCCCACAGGGACAAAAACATGGCTGTTCTAGTGTGGCCCAACCAGGAGCGCTACAAAAGTGAGCAAAAGTGCCCAAACACATGCTTGTGGCGATATATTCAAAAAGGTTTGAGGCTGTAATCGCTGCCAAAGGTTAGCAACAAAGTATTGAGCAAAGGCTCTGAATACTGATGTACTTATGCATTTGTGACCATTATTAGTTTAATACATGTGCAAAAACTCAACAACAAAATTCCCATCAACATTATGAATGAATTAAATCCAGTTTGGATGAAGACGGTGAAATAAAATTTGGAAGAAGTAAGAATACTTTCTGGACGCGCTGGAATAAGGTACTTAGCGTTTTAAGTGTATTACAATGAAAACTCTGACTGACCTAGCTTTCCTCCTCCTCCACATACATTTTGAGAATGTGCAAAAAACATCGGCGTGGCCGCAGAGTGTCGACTTTTCACATTTGATATTGAAGTGCCGCAGCTTTGCATAATGCGATTTAGTGTATTAACAGAGCAGTGCGACACAACACTACCGTAATCAGCAAACATGTGGGCATGCGGCGTGAAAATGGGATAAGTGCCCCGAGAAATTAAGCGTAAGATAAAAGGATTTGTAAAATGGAGATCGTAATGAGTTCTGTTGAACTATTTGAGACGAGTACAGATTGTATTCAGAGGACTGACTGAACTGCAGTTAATGTCTATTTTTTCGGCCTCATCATTTACGTGAAGGATGTGCGGCGATGGCGAGCACAAATCTATATGATCCTCCACTTGGCTGAGCTTGACAGTCGCCGATGTGGCAGGAAATGGGCGCTAATTACAGAGGCTGTCGACGGCGACGCGCAGGTGTCAGGAGGCGCGGCGGCAGCTGATTGTTTTAATTGTAGCAATCAGATAGCACTTTACGGCTCACAGGCGCTGCTCACGAAACGCGGACGGTGCCACAGTGCTGCCTGTCAAGCGTCTTCACTTTAATTGCGCGGCTGATGATGATGAGGATGATGGTTGTCGGAATAATACGAGTTGTCACATTTTATCTTAACTTATATGGATTAAAACGAAATGAATGGCTCTATTACGGGTGTCAAACTCAAGGCATGGGGGGCCAGATGGGGTATGCCACTTCATCTTACGTGTCCTGCAAAAAGTGATTCTTGCCATCCATCCATCCATCCATTTTCCGATCCGCTTTATCCTCACAAGGGTCGCAGGGGTGCTGTAGCCTATCTCACCTGTTTTTGGGCAGTAGGCGGGGGACACCCTGAACTGGTTGCCAGCCAGTTGCAGGGCACACATTGGCATAGAAGCATTTGCACTTACCCTCACACCTAGGGAGAATTTAGAGTGTCCAATCAGTCTGCCATGCATGTTTTTGAAATGCGTGAGGAAACCGGAGTACCCGGAGAAAATCCACGCAGGCACGGGGAGAACATGCAAACTCAGTGATTCTTGCCAAAATACCAAAATTACAAATCGACTTCACTTTTAATAAAATTGAGATGTTGCATTCATTTTTTTTGTGACTTGTCCTGTATACATACATACATATATATATATATATATATATACACACACACACACACACACACACGGAAAATTTATTTATTTATTAATGTATTTATTTATTTTTACTGGCCCCTGATCTTAACTAGTTACCTATCAATTTGTTGTGATAATATGAGGCTTACATTCATACAATACAGTATATGGGTTCACAGTCATTCTGGTCCTACAATAGAAAACCATAACTACAATGTGAAAAAAATGAATTTGACATCACCTGGGCTATATATAATACAAATGGGAGGATGGATGGATGGATGGATGATTACCGTACATGAATCGATGACGGGATATTTTGGATCAGAGTTGGAAAGATGAATGCACAAACAGGAAGGAGAACTGTGCATTTATTTGAGATGAATCAAAGAATGAAAACCAGTGATGATTCTATGTATCAAAGACAGAAGGATAGACAGATGATAGCTGGAATAAAGAAGAATGGAAAGACGGATGGATGGATGGATGGATTGTTTTATGGTTCAAAGTAGTATGGATGGATGGATTCAAGTCAACCAAGACTGTTTTCTTCCATTCATCGTCCCTCCTCTGCAGCGTCTGAGAATGATGATCAAGCCAGTGGTGCTGGTGAAGGCTCAGGAAAACGGCCCGGAGCAGCAGACGGAAACCCAGAACCAGAACCCCGCCACCGAGGAGGCGTACATCTAGAATCTCGTGAGCGTCTCTCTTGTCTCAGCGGTTCTCCATCGGGGTCCGAAAACACCCCCACGAGAAGCGGAATCAAGGTTGGGAACGACCACCAGACGCCCACGTCTGCTTTCATTCACCTACCTCCTGGGGACACGTGAGACCAACCCGACCACATTTATTCTTATGATTATTCTTATGAAATCTGTTTTTATTTTATTGTTGTATCATACAGAGGAAACTACCCAGACAACGTGTTGTGTAATTTTAAAGTTCATTCTGCAAAAAAAAAAAAAAAGACATTTTAGTAAGAGAAATATGACTTAGGAAGTAAAACTATATGAAAAAGCTTAAATTTGGAGACCTGTATTGATTCAATATTTTAGACTACAATTACTGTACAAAGACAAAATATCTGGTGCATTTTGGCTTGTAGAATTTCCTTAAATAGATGCCATGTTGTAGATGAGAATTTTAAATGAAATGTCTGGAAGTGGAATGCGAATGGAGCAAAATATAAGACATCAACATTATTCATTTCAGTTGTTGAGCAGCCACGTCTTGGGGGTTTACGCCTTTGAAAAGCACAAGTATGCTGAGTTAAAAAGCTATGACAACAGCAAAAATAATGATACAAAAAAATATATATATACACACACACACACACACACACTTCAGTAGGATATGTAGCAAAAGACTGTCATCACTGTTGACAGTTTTGTCTTGTTTTTCTGATGAACAATAACTATGTACAGTGTGTTGTTAGAATCCTTTATTTTATTTTTTTGTAGAATAACTTTGAGGTAGTTTTGTATATTCGAGACAGAGAAGGGCCAAACGCGAGCACACGCCGGTTTGAATATTACAGGTGCAAAATTCATCGGAGCAATGTAGTAAAGTCATCAGCTCTTGCAGAATGTCAGTTAGGGCGACATCCCATCGTGTATTACGATCCTCCAAGCATCCAGTTCAGAGGGTGAACGGGTACTCGAGCAATAAGCTAAAGTGACAGAGAGGCTGCGACTGACTATATGAAGGGTTTCTAGAGCATACTCGAACCATATTTCGTAATCCACTCCTCAGGAACTAAGGTGGATGTGACCAAATGCTCCCCGGATATGAAACACTTAAGCGGTTTGTGTGATATAAATATATATTATTAAAAAAGAAAAAAGAAAAAGATGTATACCGTAGTTCCTCAATTGAATGGCCGCAGATGAGGGAGAAAAGTTTATTAGGAGAGAGAGGCCTTTATTTGTATAAATATATTTTTTTCCAATAATGACTAACAACGATTGAGGAAAATTCCGTTTAACCCGGGACAGACTAGATCAAACTAGTAAGCGCATACAGCAACATTGTGGTGTCAGTCTGTTAGAATGTTAGTTGTCATAAGACGCCGTCAAAGCTTAACGTGAAATACAGTTTTTTTGGCTCTGTGGGTGCTGCTGTTTTGGTTAGCAACATAGTTCAAATGGCACCATGTGAACAACAAAGGCAATGTTTAATTTTCTTTGGGCTTCTGAGAGACTGTTTACAAGCTTCAGTAAGTATTGCTGTTTTGGTTAGCAACAGGTTTAGCTTTAATGTTTGTGTATTTGAGGAAGACATTTATTCATCTCAAGCGGGCGTTTGTGGTACGGCCGCTATTTGAGGAAATTCACGGTCATCGAAATTTCACCTTCTCTACAAAACGTTTCACCTGTGATCTTTGGAAAAACTGATCCAAGTCCTGTGTGCGTGTGTCTCTAGCTGTGTGTGTGTGTGTGTGTGTGTGTGTGTGTGTGTGTGTGTGTGTGTGTGTGTGTGTGTGTGTGTGCGTGTGCGTGTGCGTGTGCGTGTGTGCTTTCTTTGTGCACATTTTATCTCATAATTATAAATGACGATCGAGCGAGGCGACTTTCACAGTGGTTGGGATTGGTCTAAATCCCTGGCGACTCCTTTTCATAGGCTAAAGGAAAACCTATTATTACATATCAAGTTTGCACGGCAATATGAATAAAGGATATCTTGTCTTATCTTATTACTGTGAAGAAAGAGTTTAAAAAAAAAAAAACAATAATAGATATTGATGAAAATAAAATTTGCTTCTGTGGCAGCTACATGCGACAGGAATCAGGTTGAGTCCATCCCGCTAGGTCATTTTTATTTATGCATTTTCTTTCAAAGTATGTCAATGAAAACTACGACGAAGGATTCGGTGCATTTTTTTTTTTTTTTTGTACAAAGTTACCGTACTGCAATTTTCTCTCTTGAATGATGTTGTAAACTAGACTGTGTACTACACGTATCTGTGAATGTCCGTACAAATCTGGATTTTTTTTTTGTTCTCTTTTCTTCTGTCGAGTCATTGTGGAACAAAAAAAAAAAAAGTGTATGATCTGTCGTTTTCCGCAATATTATCATCATCATCTCGGAAAGACTAAAGCACAACTCTCTCTCTCCGCTCTACAAATGATCATAACAGAATAGCTTAACAATGCAGATGATATTAATAATAATAATAATAATAATATAGAAATGTCTAGTCAGAGAATATTGTTTTGTATATTTTTAGCTGTTTCTCGGGCCTGATGTAAAATATTATATGTAAAAATATATATATCATAAATGTCTATGTGTTCTATGAAAAAGCATGATTGCAATATATGTTATCTGCAAAAAATAAATAAAGAACTATAAATTATCATGGCTGTGTGGTGTTATTACTGCATAGGATGTGCTGGACCGAGGAACCAATGCAAGATGACAGTTATGCAATAAGCGTTAACCTTTTTGGAAACTTTTTTTTTTTTTTTAAACTCTGCATGCCGTATCTTCAAATGAAATCCTCCTATTAATTCCCATGGTAGAATTGGAAAAAAAATTAAAAGAAAAAACTCACGCTTGTACTTACTGTTTTTCATTTGATTGCTTGACCCTTCACCTAAATATTCTTGAATGGGCTTGATACAACCTAAGGCACGCCTGTGCAATTAATTAGGCTGCCTAATCAGAATCTTGATCTGGATTATTTCGGCAAAGGAGCACTAACGAACTAGAGCTCACTAACACAGAATTTAGACAGATTTGTGAACAATATTTGAAAGAGTCAGGTTTTCGTCTACATAGTAAAAGCCTTAGAAAAGTGTGGCGTTTATATTCTTGTCCACTGTAACTTGGCCCACATTCTCAAGGAGTGTTTTCTGCCACCCAATCACCAAACAGCAGCATGTTTGGCTCCACCCTTTACATGGTTAGCTATTTCAAAACCCTGCCATGGAAATTTACCAGAACAGACTGCCACACACGATCCGGTAATAATAATAATTGCTTGTTGTGATGCATTTCGTTTCAAGAAAACAAACGCATGATTGTGCTGAGTGCAGCATATGAGGAACTAAACTTTCTTGAAGTAATTTAAAAATATTTATATTACCACAACAGATCCGAATAAACATCCCTGCTTTGCGGAAACTGACTCGATAGATTTGCAGAAGTGTGAATATCTAAAATGACCTCCTGCAGGGAAAGCTAAGTCAAATAGCCAGGAGGACCCGCATGGCTGCGTGATCTTTTGACATCACGCTTCACACCACGTCTTCCAACGTGGCCAACATACAACTAAATGTTTGCCTCCAAGACATCCCACCAACATGACCTAGTTCGTTTGGACAACGCTGATACGTTCCGACTGGGCTCACGCTGATGCGCATGGACAGAGCGAGCACGGCGGTTGAGTTTGATGCATGAGTAACTGAGATTTCAGGTGACTTCTAGCAAATACACTGCAGATGGCAATATATGTTTCACTTGAGTCAGAATGCATTACAATGCGCTAGAGTTTATCCGAGGCTCCCCATGTGCAGAGTTACCCTTGAATGACCCAAAAGTCGTATACTTAGGGTGAAAACTATGCTGCAACCCGTCATCATTAATGATCTTCTTAGATACATATACCACAATGACACCTTTTTTTTTTTACCCCCGCCAAAACACCCATTCATTCTGAATACCACAAACAATTTTCACCGTTCTCACCATTACTACATCCCAAAAAAATACCACTAACATAATGCCATATAATTCCATATCAATTAATATTATTCAACATCATTCCACATCATTGCATCTCTTTCAATACCATTTAATATCATTCCATATTTTCACGATCATATTGCACATTTTTCAACAGTATCATTCATTATCATTCTGCATAATTCAATACCATTTCACATAATTGCATCTATTTCCATATCATTCGACAGCAATCCACACTTTGTACCATCATATTGCATATTTTTCGCCAATATCATTTAGTACCGTTACATACTATTCCCCGTCACACCATATCTTTCAGTATCATTCCACATAATTCAAGATCTTTATTTATATAAAGCTTTCACAACAGCTGCCACTGTAATACAGCGCTTTACAGAACATAAAACAACAAAAATAATAGAACACACGGACAGTCATACAATCATCACGACGACTCCTGCATATGCCTTATGTTGTTTGAAGCAGTTCTAGATTCAAGAGGAGGGAATCAAAGTCTTCTTTCACATTGCTCAAAAAGTGCATGAAGTCCCACACGGCTGCTACAAGCTAAGTTTGAAGGTAAAACATAAACTGTAACGTCCGAATAGAGATTGGTTCACTTCTCCTGTCCCATGTAAATCGGCTTCAATTCCAAGCGGTGAATTCTCAGTTCCAAATACGCATCGGCACAACCGCACCAACGCGGACTGTCCAACAGTGCCGACAGCTCTGCTGAACCAAACGGGGCAGTGAAAAATTCTGGCCATGACAGGTGAAAGTCAAATAGCGCCAACATTCCCCCCCACACCCCTTTAAAAGCAGTACTTGTCCACCCGCGCTGTGTAAATAGCTAACTGTATAAAACATGATGTGGTATGCTTTGGATCATCAGCGGTTCTCCATATATTGATACAAGGTCGGTAGGTATACCTAACTATGTCATGACAGTATTCGCTCTTGCTGGAAATGACCAAATTTTTGTCAATAAAGGGCTTTCATTTCCTATTCCCTGAGGACGTAAACCATTAGATTATCTAGTGGAATTAGCCAGCGACTGGTTTGCTACCCCATGATTGTCACTTGTGGTCCAGAGGTAGCTTTTTATATGCGTCTTGCACTTTTGAGTCGACTTCATTTGTTTGACTCGGATGACAGCTCGTGTTAAAGAAAGACTTGTGTAAATTTTAAGCGTCATCCATGAATATATTGTTTCTATGTTTGTACCCGTACACAATTCAGAAATCACTGGTGCGAGTAACTGCATGAAAACAGAACATTGTAGCAATTATTTAATATATCGTGTTTGTGTCTGTGTGTGCGCTTACACATGCATGAGATGCATCAACATGTCCCAATATATACGTGTGTGTGTGTGTGTGTGTGTGTGTGTGTGTTTGCTCATCTGGGCATGCGGCGCTGTAAAAGTGTGACTTGCGCCGATGACACAGACATGAGGGAAGTTGCTCTGACATCTCTAATCTAGCAGAGGTAGAGCGCAGCCTCACAAGTCAGCTCCGGGGCGCCACCCCCGTCCCCGGCTCATGCTCAACAACTCCAGCCTGCTCCCCGTTTGCGCGCATGCTCTCCAAGTGCATCACGATCACCGAATGTAGATAAATAAATTCTACTTCCAGTCCACCATTTGTGTTATGTGAATGACGCAGCATGGTTATATAATTTTCCTTGCATTTGGTTAAAGGGCTACAAATGCGAGGCTATTTATCGGAGGATGGGGGGCGGAGGGGGTCGATGGTGCCATTTTTTTGTTTTGCTTATGTAAGAGTTACACTGTCAGAAATTAAGGGTCTAATAGAAGTCCATTGCTGTCCCTGAAGGTACAAGCTACATTAAAATAAGGTTAATTATTGTTCTCCAAGATAAAAGACATGTAATGTGGTAGGCTTTGGATCACTAGCTGTCCTTCACTGGTAAGTAGGTACTGTGCAAAGGTTTAGGTAGGTAGTTAGTAGGGGTGGAACGGTTCACAAAAATCCACAGTTGGATTCAAATCTCACTTTTGTGCTTACGGTTTTCGGTTCAGTTCAGTATGCGTTGACTGTCAAAAAAAAAAAAAAGGATGTCCAGCATAGTTAGGTTCAAAAGTATAGGCTCACAACATTATAATGAATACAATTAAATTGTTTTCAAAAGGATGGCAAATTGTACGGCAAACCTCATGATGTGTATCATTGCTTTCTACCTGACGATAATCATACGTGAAAGAGCTCAACTCATGCATAAAGCAATTGCTTCTCCTTTTCATTCATGTCAAATGGACACAACAATTAACGGGGGGAAAAAAGCTTTTACTGCAGAAGTTCATCTTTAATTTCAGGGTATATCTATCCGAATCAGGTAAACGGTGTACTAATTACAACAGTGTGCGTATATGCCTCACAATTTTACCATCAAAGGTTGTAGTAGCTACATACCAGCATCGCATATCCTCGGGTTAAGTCTCTGTGACAATCAAAGCACCTCGGTCACGAACAAAGTGACTTTGAGCAAGCTGTATTTCCAAGTCGTCCATTTTATGTCCAAGAGATTTTGCGTTGAAGATATAAAGACTCATTAGCAGTGACTTACAATGGCAACGCTAGCGTCATTAGGAATCCAACTGGAAGAAGCCTACCAGGAAGGACGTTTCCCGCTTCAATATGATGTCGCGGTATCTTTGGCTCACCTTTCCAAAAATAAATGTGTTATATTTGATATTCGGGTGTTGTAAACCTGGGCAGCTCATGCATGGGGGAGGCATAAACAACCCAAGGACACAGAACTAAAATCTAAACAGTGACTCTAAACACCAGCGGCAAACAGCTGGAGAACACGCATGCGTGTACACACTGTTGATTGTGACAACTTGGCTGGGAAACTGGGCAAACACAGGCCCCGGAATGATTGCAAATGAGACACAGGTGTATAGACAACGGGAACATGGACGGCGGAAGTGGCTACACAATTAAAACAGGAAACAAACAAGACAAGCATGGGTATGCTGAAAATGAGCAGCGGTGGATTCGTCTGGAGCGCTACAGCGTTTGCGAAACCTGGTCTCAAGACTGTCAAATATTTTTGGGACAGAACTGGACATGAGGAACCAGGCCACCCCTGAGCTCTAACAGCAGGACCCATTTATTGAACTATTCCCCAATAGTAAGGAGAAAACATTTGGTCTGGTGCCAGCCGGCAGGTGGTAGAGACTCTATAGATGCCACGATGGATGGGCGGGAAGTAGTCCCGTGGCGACTGCCGTTTCCACAAAACCAGTCCAGCTGTTCCATTTGGAAGCCAAGTTGCGGCTTTCCCAACCGTGCCGTGATGCAGTAGGTTCGAGCACCTCTGTACAAAGTGACGAGGCGGCCTGTGATAGACAGTTCTCTGATAGCATATCTGCTCCCTGCAGACCGACAGACAGACGGAGGAGAGCGAGCGAGAACTGCATGAAATGCCCTTATCACTGTCTGCCATATGATGATGGGATGAGCTAACAAAGCTTTAATGAAGTGCTTTAATTGCCTGCTTGGTGAAGCCTGCACCCCCACCCCACCCCACCCCATCTCACACACACACACACACACACACACACACACACACACACACACACACAGTTGTTAGATAACATGATACTGACAAGCAACCATGAGGCCATTTAAAAAAAAATAAA